ATCTGAGGGAGTGTAGTGAAGACCTGGACCCTCAGTGAGTGGTAGTGCAGCCACATGCTACACTACTTTGGTGCCCAGTCCTTCGGTTCTTACTCGCATGAGCAAGCAGTCCCATTTCAGCCAGGAGAATAACTTATACACATTAGAGCGTTGTAGGAACTGGCAGTCCCTCACTCAGTCCAGACTGGATGATATACTTGTAATATAAAAATCCACACTGAGATGGGTTTGCTGATACATCTGGAAATGACCAGATCCTCAGATAATGGCAAGTGATGTAGCTGTGTCAGAGTGAACCTGGATTGCATGAATTTAGGAAATGCCTTGTAAAGCAGAGCACTCTCATTGGACTTGTGGTCTGAATTGAGTATTTCCTTTGAAATCAGTGTGAGCTTTGACAGTGACTTCAGTGAAAGAAGGAGCACACAGTACTGCAGCCAAAGTTTGGTGCAGGATCTGAAAACATGCTGTTAAAACTACGAACAATGGAAACTCCAGAGCCTTTAAAGAGTCCAAATCCTGATCCAAAGCCAATGTCAGTGGAAGCAGGCTGCTTCTGCCTGGGCAGCAATGAACTGCACTGCTCTAGAACAAAAGGACGATGACAGCAGTTGATATCCAAATGTCAGTATGGCAGTGCAGGCTCTCTTGCCATGATAATCAGAGACACATAAACATAAATCTCAAACTAGCATATTACCGCATTTTAATCTGTATTGAATGTTTAGGTCTGGGAAGGAGCAATATTATCTTGGGCTATTTACAAGCAAGCGTATTGTTTCTCATCTACTGATATCAAAAGTAATTTTTCCTTGGTTTCAGTGAGAGCAGGATCAAACCCATGGTCCTTCAGCAGACTGAAGAGAATTATTTAAAGAATGTAGTAAATATTTGCATACTTTATTACTATTTTGCAACAGTGTCATAAATGACATTACAAGTTCTTGAATGTAAATCTAATAAGCTGGTTGGTTTTAAAAAGTATATGATTATTATTGTTCAATAAAAAAACAACTGAAATCATCGCTGTCTATTGTGACTACCCATTAGTGACAGAGTAAGACTGCTGGTGATGGCATAGCCATGGTACATGCAGACTAGGCAGAGTTTTGCTCCCAAATCCACAGGAACAGTTTCATAATGGCTGCCCCTATTTCAGTGAATTTGCTGGAGACCATTCTCCATTGCTGAAGATGAGTGGTGGACGTGTCCAGAATGGCTTGTGTCCATACCATCCAACCATCTTCACCTCCAAAACAAGGTGGCTGGATCCAGGCTGCCTTCTGGGGACAGGCCCTCCCTGGCCAACCCCAGTGCAGGAAGGGTTTGGGAGTCCTCTTGCTGCCAGGCCACTGCTATGCTAGGGACCATTTAGCCCTGGGGCAGTGGCTGCAACTTCTTGCAAATGTTTGATTACCATATAGGAGTAACATGTGGAACCTCACCTGGCAAGTCAGGAGAAAGGAGGAGATGGATGCCTGCAAACTTTTTGGGGTTGTTTTCTTCTGTTTTCCATCAAATTTATAAAGTGCTTTTGCATTTCTTCAGCTGCTCCAGTGACAGATTACTCCACAGAGAAAAGGTTCCAGGATGAAATTATAATACAAGCAAGTATTATCCATTATCCTTTTAAATGTCTCCCTGTTGCTACTAGTGGCAATGGGACTACACTGGTAGAAGAAATAATGCAAATAATCATGGAATCATAGAATCATTAGGTTGGAAAAGACCTTTAAGATCACTGAGGCCAACCGTAAACCTAATGCTGCCAGGTCCACCACTAAACCATGTTCCTAAGCACCACATTTACACATCTTTTAAATACTTCCAGGGATGGGGAGTCAATCAATTCTCTCTGGGCAGCCTGTTCCAATGCTTGACTACCCTTTCCATGAAGAAATTTTTCCTAATACCCAATCTAAACCTCCCCTGGCGCAGCTTGAGCCCATTTTCTCTTGTCCTATTGCTAGCTACTTGGGAGAAGAGACCACCACCCACGTCACTACAACCTCCTTTGAGGGAGTTGTAGAGAGCGATAAGGTCTCCCCTCAGCCTCCTCTTCTCCAGGCTAAACAATCCCAGTTCCCTCAGCTGCTCCTCATAACGCCTGTGCTCCAGACCCTTCACCAGCTTTGTTGCCCTTCTCTGGACACGCTCCAGCTCCTCAATGTCCTCCTTGTATTGAGGGTCCCAAAACTGGACACAGTATTCCAGGTGCGGCCTCACCAGTGCCGAGTACAGGGGGACAATCACCTCCCTGCTCCTGCTGGCCACACTATTCCTGATACAAGCCAGGATGCTGTTGGCTTTCTTGGCCACCTGGGCACACTGCTGGCTCATGTTCAGCTGGCTGTCAACCAACACCCCCAGGTGCCAGGCACCTTTCCAGCCACTCTACCCCAAGCCTGTAGCATTGCATGGGGACCTGGCACTTGCTGTTGGCCTCGGCCCATCGTTTCAGCCTGTCCAGATCCCTCTGCAGGGCCATCCTACCCTCCAGCAGATCAACACTCTGAATGTCCAGCCTTCCTGGACTCCTTTGCCCTTCAGGACTGCCTCCCAAGTGACATGAAGTGATGTTCATGGAACCTAGAGCTCTTCACCAGCTCCTTTATTTTCCACCCTTTCATCTTTCTACCTTTCCTCTCACATTTCTCCTGGCTCCCCACTGCACCCTCCAACTCATTTCCCCTATTTTGCACATGTGGATTTTCTTTTAGACTTTTTTCCTTTCTTCACCCAACTCTGTTCCAGGCATCCTCTTTTCAGCTGACCTTTCCTTCCCACAGAAGCCTGAAGTTAGCTACAGATACTCTTCTCTCCTGCACTAAAAGTCATGAGATGGCTTATCACACAACGTGCTCCTTTCACCTAATATGTCACCTAGATTTGGTTTTAGTGGGGTCATATATTATTTCCATTATGAATATGCTTGACAAATAGGCCTAATTTCTGGTAGGTAGACTTTATTTTCTCAAGTACTAAACAGTAAGCTAGTAATATATGCACCACTTCTTACTTTATATTTAGTATACAAAGACACTGATAAGAAGTATGCTACAATGCAATATTATAGTTTCAATTACAGCCTGTATTATAGGATGTTGCAGACACCATTACAGTTCGAACAACATATCATCATATGTTTTAGAATGATGTCTGAAATACACAGAATAGAAATGCCTGAAATATATTCAGATGTATTCCTTCCATGATTCAAATAATATATAGCAAATATATTTCCACTGTAGACCAACTTTTAATGAAAAACAGCATTATCAGCTTCAACTGTGCAAGACATCTTTAATGTACTTTAGTGTACAGTTTTGTTACATAAATACATTGACACAAGTATTGTGTGATGTATCACTGCCTAATCACCATAGTGTGATTAACAATATAAATTTGCCACTCTGATCTGCTAGGACATACATATTAGAGTAAACACACCAAACTGTATATTTTAAATGAAAATATATTTATTATCACCTCTGTACATGCTTGCTATCTATTTAAATGGACTGTCAGGTCACAGCAGTTCTTTGGAAGTATTTCCTGACACCTGCAAAGTTGGTAAATATTTCCTGTTTTTGTTGTGTCTGCTGAAAATAGGAATTTTACAAGTTGCACTGATAATTTGACAGGCACTGTGATCTCCAGTTTGGCAAGTCTTAATGTGGTTTCCACGGGGGTTTGTGACTGTCCGAGGGAACTTGGGCTGACAAACTGGAATGTTCTGCCTTTCTTATTCTCCCAAAATAGACACCAGCACTATTCAAGCACAGTCAATTATCCATCTATCTTCTGGGTGGCCACAGACTATGCACAACCCAGCCGTGTGAGTTAATTTTTGCAGAATGGGTAAGTATAGCAATTAAATATGTGTTAATACAGCAAGACCTCTGAATGCTGAAGTGTTCCTTCCCATCTCCTTATGCAGCAGCTGCCAGTGACCCCTGCACATATGCTGGGTGCCTCGGTGGTGGCTGGGGTCACTGTGTCACACCCATGCCTGGAGAGCCTGGTTTTTCTGCAGGTGCTGGCTGGAATCTGGCTGCAGCCCTGGCAGCCCTGTATCCCCCGTGCTGCCTTTCTCCAGGATTTTCAGGGCAGGCAAAATGCT